AGTCTGATATATTCAATAATTTAAATGTCATATAATTAACAACAATTGATTTTTAGTGAGGGGAAAATCATGAAGAAAGGTCAAGTGTCTTTAAAGTTTAACCTATAAATTAATATTTAGTAAGTTACACTTATTTGTTTATTTATTTATTTTATTTATTTCAAGATAAGATTTCTCTGTGTAGCCTTGGCTGTCCTGGTCTCACTGTGTAGACCAGGCTGGCTTTAAACTCACAGAGATCCACCTGCCTCTGCCTCCCAGAGTGCTGGCATTACAGGTGTGCACCACCGTACCGGATAAGTAAATTAAATTTGTATTGTAAAATTTCTCTCTTATTATTTGGATTATCTCATATTAAATATATTATTTAGAGCTTATTTTTTATCTGATGCAGCCATATATAATATGAATATAAGATGTCATTAAATCAATGTTTAAATGCTTTAATTCACTTTGTATATTTTATAAGATGTCTCAAACTCAATTATAAACCATACAATTAAATTTTTAAATTAGACCAGCACCATTTGTTGAAGATGCTATCTTTTTTCCATTATATGGTTTTGGCATCTTTGTCAAAGATCAGGTGTCCATAAGTGTGTGGGTTTATTTCTGGATCTTCTGTTCGATTCCATTGATCCACCATTGTGCTTCTATGCCAGTACCATGCAGTTTTTATAACTGTTGCTCTATAGTACAGCTTGAGATCAATTATGACGATACCTCCAGAAGATCTTTTATTGTAGAGGATTGTTTTAGCAATTCTGGGTTTCTTGTTATTCCATATGAAGTTGAGAATTTTTCTTTCAAGGTCTGTAAAGAGTTGTGTTGGTAATTTGATGGGAATTGCATTGAATCTGTAGATTGCTTTTGGTAAGATGGCCATTTTTACTATGTTAATCCTGCCGAGCCATGAGCATGGGAGATCTTTCCATCTTCTGATATCTTCTTCTAATTCTTTCTTCGGAGACTTGAAATTATATTTGGAACTCAGCTTATTCAAATGTGCTTGTGAATTATAACCATCTATCATGATAGACTTCCTCTAAAAAAATCCTTTCATTACTGTTCTAAAGATGATTCAGAGAGTTCAAAGAGAAGTCTACGTATACAACCCTCTAAGGTGCTGGGAATCCCGCTGCTCCCTGTGCTGGTAGGGACTGTGTACTACTCATGCTGCCCTTTTTATGGCTTTTTCTGGCACTAGCTCAAAACCTGAAAATTTAAGTTAAAAATGTTTACTTATTTCATACTGTTTAATCATCTGCTTGTTCTTACTGAGTGTTGCTTTGGAAATTTTAAATGTGCTCATCCGGTAAGTTCAATTTTAATATTATAAAGCTATCTTGACTTGCAAGGCCACAGAAAAAGACAATGCAGCCAGTCCTGATGAGACCTGATAGGCGAGGGCCAGATGGAAGGGAGGAGGACCTCCCCTATCAGTGGACTAGGGGAGGTGTATATGGGGAGGAGAGGGAGCTAGGGAGGGATAGGGAGGAGATGAGGGAGAGGGCCACAGCTGGGATACAAAATGAATAAATTGTAATAACTAATTAATAAAAATTTTAAAAGATATATTGATAAGTCTTACATATTTTTATTATCTTTTTCAAAGAACAAAATTTTGAAAGTCATACTGTGTAGCTTAACAATTTATCAAAAAATATAAGCTGATGATTTTCACTCTGCTTAATTTTCATCTCAAAAAGTTAAACTAAGTTATTGCAATTTGTTAAATTAACACATTTTACTTTATTCATTATGTGACAATTATCTTTCCTCCAAAAACATAAAACAAGGTAAATAAAAAACTATTCACATAGGTCTTGTCTAAGTATATATTTCTGACTAACCCATCTATATTATTATTTGTACCAATTTGACACTTATTATGCAACTGTTGCAAAGGTGAGAAAACATGAATAGATACACCAATGCAATTTCCTAAGTTAGAGCAGCATGTTGAGATCCCAGGGTAGGATAATGTCAACCCATCTCTCTTTACTAAAATTCAAGTATATTTAGTAAATTAAATTATTAAAACTAATATAAAAATTAACAATTGTCATTTATTTTATCTGTTCATTCTGAAAAAAAATGCATTCTTTCATCTACAAATACAATGTGGATGATTAAAACAGATGTAGGCAGATAAAAGCAAGTTCTATTCCATTCAATGAAAAAATACATAAAAATAAATTTAATCAATATTGAATAATTGAACTTAACTATTTGTGATGGAGTCTTAATTAAGCAAAAAGAAAAGCAAGTCATTTGCTAATTCCAATTATATGCACTTAAAGTGGTAACTTTAATGTTCGTATTAAACTACGACACATAATTAGAATGGGACATATAAATATTTTTATGAAAATATTATTTATGCAAATGTTTATATGTAGATAGTAAAAACAAATATAAATGTAAATTATATTTTCTCTAAATGCTTATATCCATGAAATATGAGCTTTTACTTTGAAACAAGACATTTATCCTTTTATAGTTGTGTGATCCCCTTCTCCTTTCATTATCTTAAAACAGGTGAGTGGTCTACACTTTTAAAGAGTATCATGTCTGTTTCTCTGTTACCCAGTCCACTTTATAATTTTTGCAAATTATGTAGTTGTATCATCAATAATTTTCAGTTAAGTTTGCCAGTAGTACAACTGAGTTTAGATTTTTTCTCATTAACTCATTTATATCTCAATAGTAAACAGAAATATAAAGGTAAATTATATTTGTTCTAAACGTTTATATTGAAGTCTGAAGCTTTTTTTTTTTAAGCTTTTGCTTTGAAGCAAGATGTCTGTCCTTATTCTTGTGTGCCCCCACTTCTCTCTTCGTTATCTTAGGACATGTGAGTGGTTCATACTTTTGAAGACTCCGGTCACTGTCTCTGTTAGTATTCTATATTCAAAATCACTACTCACTGACAGCTTGGACATAAAAATGCAACTTCCTTTCAATCACAGACAGAATACCTTTCGGGAAAATCATCTTTCTGTAAAGAAAGACACTTCAGAGCTGCAAAGCAACTTTTGACACCGAAAAATATTTCTATGTATTTTTTTACAAAACAGAATCAACATGTGTACTGAAAATAGAAAACCAAAGTATCAAATTTCCTAGTATTTCCTTTCTTAATTTAACATAAGATTTTCATTTATGGGAATTAAATAGCAAAAATTACCCATAATATTACAAATAGAAAACAGGGTGAAATAATTGTTAAAAGACATTAAGAGTTGGAGCCTTAAAGTTGTTATTTTTTTTTCTTTCTTTATTTTAACATTTTAAGGTATATTTAAATCATTACTACCCTTCTGTTTCCTTACTTTAGACCTTCCCATGTCCCCTCTCATTATCAAATTGAAACACTTTTTATTGTTGTATTGTGTGTGTGTATGAGAGAGTGAGAGAGAGAGAACAAATATATAAAGAAACCTTTCTGAGTCTATTTTTTGCATATGGTTTCAGGATTAACTACTTTGTATTGGATAACTTTCAATGTGCACTTCCCTTGAAAGAGGACAATTAATTCTCCTGCCAGCTGTCATGAGTTGCCTGTGTTTTTGTTTGTTTCTTTGTTTTGTTTTATGACTGAATTTGACCCTTGAAAATTTCCTTTTTCCATGTTAACATATACACTGAGGTTACAATTGTTACTTGTCTTATTTATACACATATTTCATGAAGATACTGTTTCACTTTCTCTTGTCTGGCTCTTACATCTTTCTGCACCCTCTTCTGCACTGTTCCCGGAACATGGATGTGGTAACTTTTATGTAGAATATTCACTGGAACTGTATACCCACAATCTGTTGGTCTCCATCTGCTGTAAAAACAGAAAGTTTTTGATGAGTTATATTTATATATGTTTGTAAGATTAAGATACAAAATGTATTAGGGGATTGTTCTGGTTTATCAATGTAGCTGTAGTATATTATTATCTAACATCCTTGACCTCACAGTCCCAGTGAAACTGGCTAGAGGTCTAGAATTCAGTATGCTATCCTTCCTGTTGAGTTGGCCTTAAATCTACTTAGACTTCTCATAGTTATTGCAAGCATGTGTATGCCACTATTGCACTTTTATGACTATCTTTGCCATAATGGTCATTGTTGTGGATCATAGGTGTCACAGCTCTGCACTACTATTGATGGCTTCCCTCCCTTGACAGCTTGAATAGAAAACTCTTGTACTATTGAAGCTAGACCTGAGGAAAGAGAATTTTAGACTAGATGAAGCTCACCCTGTGTCCCAAGTGTGTGATATCTTCATCAACAGTGGCTTACAATCATCCTCTTAGAGACAGTAAAGGGTAATAACAATAGTCTCTATAAAACTTTTTTGGAATCTTTTGAAGTACCATAACCAAAAGGAGGATTCTTATGTCTAGAAGTAGACATTTTATTAGTATATGGTTCTTGTCAGTCCTAGTCACAATATTATATGTATTTTTTAAATTTTTAGGTAAGTATAAAATAACATATTTCTCCAGGCCACAGGGCAAGATGATGTCAGTCCTGAGGCAACTGGGTATGCTGGGGTGGTTAGTAGGAGGCTCCCCTTCTCTGAGGAGTAGGGAAGGGGGAAAGGGAAAACAGTGAGGGAGCGTAGGAGGAAGAGGAGGAGAGGGAGGGGGTTTTGACCGGGTTGTGACATGAATAAATAAAAGTTAAAAGTTAAAAAAATTATACGGATTCTTGAGGCTTTGGAGAGATTGTTTGACCTCCACCACCACCCCCTTTTCCCTCTGTGTTGATCTCCCTTGCCTCCTCGGTTGTATCCACATACTTGTTTTTCCATTTTCTCCTTCACATCACCTCCATCTTAATATTTTCAAAAGGAGAAGTGTTGGTCAATGAATACAACATTTATTTATTATTTAAGTATTATTAAAGAGTGGATGATATCTCTGCGTGAACTTAATAAATACAACCTTCTTCCACATATACTATAAACTCTTGTATTTCCCTCCTCAGGTTTGAAAAAACGGAATGGCTTCTGAGAATTGTACACTTGTGACTGAGTTCATTCTTTTGGGATTGACTGATCGTTCCGAACTGAAGATAGTGCTCTTTGTTTTGTTCCTGGTGGTTTATGCTGCTACCTTAGTAGGGAATCTGGGAATGATTCTCTTAATTAGCATCACTCCCAAACTCCACACTCCCATGTACTTTTTCCTCAGTTGTCTTTCATTTGTAGATGCCTGTTATTCATCAGTCATTGCTCCTAAAATGTTGATCAGTTTCTTGGTAGTGACAGAAACAATCTCTTTCACTGCCTGCATTGTGCAACATTTGTTTTTTGGAGTGCTTGTTACTACAGAAGGCTTCTTGCTATCGATGATGGCTTATGACCGTTATGTGGCCATTGTCAACCCATTGCTGTATACCGTGGCGATGTCTCGGGGAAAGTGTACCATGCTGGTTACTGGGTCATTCATAGGTGGAACTATTAACTCTTTGACACATACCATAACTTTGAGTAAGCTGTCTTTTTGTGGACCTAATGTAGTAGGTCACTTCTTCTGTGACATACCATCACTGCTGATACTCTCATGTTCTGATACATCCATGAATCAGTTTTTGCTCTTGATGTTCTCTGGAGTTATTGTTATTGGCACTCTCTTGATTGTGGTCATATCCTACTCATTCATTGCTGTGGCCATTTTGAGAATTCGCTCAGCTTCAGGAAGACAGAAAGCCTTCTCCACCTGTGCTTCTCACCTGACTGCTGTGACTATATTCTATGGTACCTTAAGCTTTAATTACATTCAGCCAAGCTCCCAGTACTCTGTAGAACAAGAGAAGGTGGTGTCTGTGTTCTATACACTGGTGATTCCCATGTTAAACCCAATGATTTACAGCCTCAGAAACAAAGAGGTCAAAGAAGCTGCAAAAAGAGCTGTAAAAATGAAATTCTTCTTATATTAATTTCACAGTAGTAAAATTTCTGTCACGTTTATCAGCCAATCCTCACTCAGTAACATTTACATTGAGTCCGTAAGTTCTAGTTTTTGTGTTTAAAAGTTATATTATCAATATTAACTTTTGACACGAAGAAACACATTTGACAGTAAAAAAAATGATGTTTAATTTCATTTAAAAAGTAACTTAAATAAACTTTGAAATGTTATTGGTATTTGAATTAATTGGTAAACAAAAATTTAAATATATTTTAATATTTGAAAACTAAATAAATACATGAATGCATGGTATCTTTTGGAGATAATAACAAGTTTTCTAATGAATGAAAAGTTCTGTGATATTTATTATACTGTTTTTTGTTTAAAATATTCATTAATTTTTAAATATTGGGGAAAGTTCTATTCAATAAAGTAGTTAAACATAGTAGTATTATTTTACTTGACAATTCTCCCTTTCATTTATTAACCTAATTTCTTTGTCTTTATACATGTAAAGACTGAAGAGCAAGTATAATTGCATGGAAACAAGCAATAATCCATTATTTCTAATACCGTAATAATAAGGATCACAATGCTCTAGAGTAGGGACAGTTAGGCACCTTTTTAAATCCTTGTCTATCTTTAGGAATTTCTTTTATATTCTGAGTATACACGTATATTCAGAAGTCTTTAAGTAATTTGATGATATAATATGTATATTTTAGTTTAGGTCATTTATTATAAATGAGTTGCTTATATAAGTATATAAAATTTACTCATTTCAGAACACACATCTTACTAAAAATACTGATAACATTATCACAGTGGATTTTGTACATCAAAATACATTATATTTTCTACAACTTTCTTCTTTTTAGACCATTAATAACATTAAATGCAGGCATTTAAAGTATACTAATGTTTCACAAAGTTTTTCATTGGGTCATTAGACTTATACCAAGTTACATTATTTGAGACTTTGCAAAAGATGTTGTTTCCTTGATTTTATTTCATTTCAAAATAGTTGTTTGAGAACTTCATCCCCTACTCCCACTTTTCCTACTCACTCACTTTCTTGTTTTTTTAAAAATAATATTTTTTATATTTACTTTATATTTTATTTACTTTACATCCTTCTTGCACCTCTATCCCTTCTCCCCTCCCAGTCTCCTTACCTCCATCCACCTTTTCTCAGGAAAGGGAGACTTCCTTTCTCATCCAGCCAGCTCACCAAGTTTCATCAGGACTGAGCATGTCCTCTTTCCCCCTGTCCTGGCAAGGCAGTCCCTTTAGGGGGAAGTGATCAAAAGCTGGCAAGTAAGTCCATGTCCAAAGCAGTCATCACTTCCCTTTACTTGAGGACCCACATGAAGCCTAAGCTGCCCATCTGCTACATCTTTGTAGGGAGCCCAGGTTCAGTTCATGCATGGTCCTTGGTTGATGCTTCAATCTAAGCAAGCCCCTCTGGGCCTGGTTAGTTGGCGTCTGTGGATCTTCTTGTGGAGCTCCTGTCACCTCTTTCATCCCACTTTTCCACAAGACTCCCTATGCATGGCCCAGTGCTTGGCTGTCCCCCGGAGCTCCTGCCGTCGACTCTAGAGTATGTAGACAGCCACTGAAGTCTGTTTACCTATCACAACACTGAAATAAAATGAACGTATGTTTTCAAGCGGCCATCAACTGTCAACCACTTTCTTACCATTTTCTGTCTTCAGAATTTAGTTCAGGTATTCTGTCACATGTTTGGTAAATAATCTTACTTTATGTTTTTAACACATGTATGAATGCATATTAAAGCTCTGTTTGCTATGTGACCTAACTTTAGTCTCTTTCCACAATGCATTTAATTTACAGTAATTTTTGTTGTGTCTGTATGCACATAGTGTCTGTTGGAGGTGTACCTGTAAATAACTTTGGGTAGTTAGTTATCTCTTTCTACCATTACGTGATTCTGGATCTCAAACAGAGTTCTCCTAGCTTGAGTTCTCCTAGCTATTACTGTATATTGCATTATCTACACTATAAAGTAGAAAAACTTTGTTTTATCAATCTATCTTATTTGCTGATTTATTTCTATTTATTCCTATTCCTCCAGAGGTGTACCCTGTAAGACCCCTATCTTTCAACGACATTTTCTGAGAGCTCTAAGCCTATAATAAAAGGAGACCTTGAATATGTAACCAATTATCCTAACCACTAAGAGTTTATCAAATATTTATGTTTACCCTGCACCTATTACACTGTTTGAGTTTGCTCTGGGGAAGATACCCAAATATTGCTGGAGTAATGGACTCATCTAGCCATTTATCTGTGCTTAGTGACCTCAGAGCATAAGAAATAAGAAGACTTCCAAATAGTGTCCAGATAAAGTCAACTTTAGATTTTTCCTAAAAGACTCAGACATAATTTTTCTCAAGAAAAAAAAAATATTAATCACAATACGGAAAGTTCCCCAAAATGCAATATGCACAGATCAAAACCCAAAAAGTAGAGAATGGAGGACAGTGACTGCAGCAATCTGCACAGCTTTGTTGATACTGTGTAAAGCAGCTGTGCAGGCTTCCTGACTCTTGCTGTTTCCAGTGAATGTGGCTGTGCCAGAGATTAATGCGACCATTGTGGACACAAAAGATAGAGAATATTAAAGGTTTTATTAAAAAGCACAGTATAACCTAGAAAATTTTTCTGAGTATATAGCCATGAAAAGGAAGTCACTCTAAAGGATCATAAGCTAGTAAAGATATTCCACTCCTATATTAATTTCAGCATCACACACCTACACACCTGCATAATGAATTCAACTTTAAAATAGGAAGTAGAAACTGCCATTTGTGATAACACAGTTAGCCAATAGGAGATTATGTTAATGAAAATAAGATACAGAACAAAGAATACTACAGGATCACACGTGTATTTGAAGAATCAAAAGAATAATAAACATTACTAGAAATGGAAAAGGACAGTGAAAAAATATGCATGACAGGATGTGGAGTGTCACGTATATTAGACATTCTAGAGACTTGAGGTATAGCTTAAGTATTATAGATAAAATAATTGAATTAAATAAAAAACTCACAAAAGGTAGATGTCATGCACAATATACAAATAACAATGTAAGAACTGACTGGGCAATATTTAGGAACACTTGTATATATACATATAGCTATAAGCATGAAATAACAATTAGTTAAAAAAGAGGCAATGGATTTGAAGGAGAGTGGGAAAGGATATATGGAATGATATTGAGGAAGAAATCAAAATCTCAAAGAAATTAATAAGAATGGATTGAAATAGAAATAGTCCTACAAGGAAAGCAACAGAACCAAAAAAACTGGGCACAGGAGTCTTTTCTAAGACTGAAACTCCCACCAAGGACCATGACAGGCTAGGGTCAGATGAAAGGGGAGGAGAACCTCCCCTATCAGTGGACTTGGGAGAAACATGGGAGGAGATGAGGGAGGGAAGGCAGGATTGGGAGAGGACAAGAGAGGGGCTACAGCTGGGATACAAAGTGAATAAACTGTAATTAATAAAAATAAATAAATTTTAAAAAAGAAAAATAAATTAAAAAGTAAATTTAAGTGAAACAAAGAATGTGAAAAAATTCAAATTGTCTTAGTGGCATACAAAAACAAAAGAACATTGTAAAATTGTCATAATTTATTGTGATGATATATAATACTGAATATTAAGTATTAATTTTAAATTGATTATTTAATACCCTGTAGAAGGCATTTTTTACCTCCTTATTTCTTAAACTGTAGATCAATGGGTTAAGCATGGGGATCACTACAGTATAAAACACAGAGACTATTTTATCATTCTTTGAGGAGTGGATGGATTTAGGCTGCAAGTACATGAAGAGTAGAGTGCCATAGAACACCACAACCACTATCAGATGAGACCCACAGGTAGAGAAAGCTCTTTTCCTGCCTTCGGCAGAACGCATTTGATATATGGCTAGTAGAATAAGAATGTATGATCCCAGGACTACCAGAAGAGAGGAGACCAAATTCAATGCTGAGAAAAATATGATCATCAATTGTATTTCCTCAGCATGTGAGCACAACAAAGGTAAGAGGAAAACATCATCACAGTAGAAATGGCTGATGACGTTAGAGCCACAGAAAGTTAATGTGAAAATTTTACTGGTGAACAACAGAGCCTGGAAGGTGCCGTAGAGGTACGGGATGCCCACCAGAACATGGCAAAGTCTCAGAGACATGATCACACCGTACAGCAGAGGGTTGCAGATGGCCACATAGCGGTCATAGGCCATTGAGGACAAGATAAAGAATTCACTGATGATGAACAGAAGGAAGAATGACAGCTGTGTGGCACATGCGTAGAAAGAAATGGTTTTCTGATCCAAAAAGATGTCTACCAGCATCCTGGGGCAGATGACAGTAGAATTCCCAAGATCAATGAAAGCCAGGTGTCTGATGAAGAAGTACATAGGCGTGTGTAGGTGAGCGTCCAGCTTGGTCAAAATGATCATGCCCAGGTTGCTTACCAAGGTGACCACATAGATGGTGAAAAAGACTCCAAACAAAGGAAGCTGAAGCTCAGAGTTCTCTGTGATTCCCATCAAGATGAACCCAGGAAGTGACGTTGCATTCTTTTGCTCCATTTCATCCAATTATATTCTCTAGGAAGAAGCAAACATTGTTTTCAACTTTTATTAAATAGTATTTTTAGGATGAACACTTCTTTTATAAGTAAGTGTTCCCCCCAAAAAAACCTCACACATAAATTTTAAATGAACATATAGAGTATTCTACTCAACTGAGTTCTTCCTGAAGATATATGCTAAATTATAAGAACTTTATATATCATTATATTGCTATCATAAACATATGTAATATACACATACACATATGTAATACATGGACATTAATATTAAAAATGTTACTTTACACAAAGAGCTTGGTTTTTTAGAGTGCATCTTCATTTTGTCTTTATTTTGCATGGAATTTTTGTATACTTGAAGAATGAGATGGAGACAGAATGGAGCTAAATTGTTTTTACTGTTATAGTTCCTTAAATCAAATATTTCCAAGATTTGGGAGATATGTTTAAATAAAAATAAATTAATTAAGTGAAAAAATAAATACCATCAATGTAATTGAGTATCTAATATTGTTGAAAGAAATAATTTTGAATGTATTAATTGTAGGAAATCTACATAATTTAATGTAATATGCTAATTAGTTAAAATTGATAACCAACTTATACCTAAGTCAAAACATCATGTTTTTATAAATATGTATATAATACTTTTTTATTCAAAAAGATATTCAATTACAAAATATGTAACTGTATATCTAAAAATATTTTAAATAAATGTAATTTATCCATAGTCAAATGTGCTCATATTAATATTCTAAGTCAATTTTCACTCAGTGTTAATCATGTTATTATGAGATGTATTGGCAAATGGTACTGCACTATTATCTGGAGTTTAATAATGGTGAAATGAGTAAAGAACACTTATTACTCAATAGTAATTTCTAGTTGAGTTCAGAAAAGTCTTCTAAAAGTACTTAGCACACTATCCTGAATTGTTCTTGAAACTGTATGAATGACCTATCATGCCAACAAATTTTGTGTTTGTGCATTACTGAGATTTAAGTTTTCATTATTTGAATCTCAACTTGTATACAAAATTTTACTATTGTACTTTTCAACAGAATACTCACTTATTTTAAGCTTCCAGATACAGTGTTTGGATACATTCCTGCTAAAGTGTTAGTATTCAGAACTTTTTAAATAGTTTCACGTAATTATTCTATAAAGCGACGTAAAAGAAATGACAGTGCCTGTAAGATGTATGTTGTTGCATTTTACATCAAATATGACTATTTACTACTAACAAAACTGAACAAAGGGTTATTTACCAAGTTCAACGCCATGACTGAATACATTTCAGTGGTATTTTCTTGTCATTTAATAAATTTTCACAAAATTCTGAGAGTCAACGTAGTTTTTCTTTGAAAGAAGAAAGTGAAGATGTATTAGCTCATTCCACCTAATTAATTTCCTGGTGCCTTTCCGCCCCTGGTTAGGGAGAATCTTCACTATTGTCATCGGGGTTTCCAACTGTAGGTGTGCGCAGGGTTTAGCACTTAAAAAATGCGGCTTGCCAACATGGGCAGCACTTGCCAACCTACTAGCTGTCATACATGCAGCATTGCAAACCCTTGATAAACATGTCTAGTGTGTAAAATGCTTTATAGAAATGTTCATTTAAAAGATTATTTTGCAAATTTATTCTTTGCAGTAGGAAATTTTATTGGCATATATATTTATGTTGTAAATTTATATCTACTGTTAAATATCTTTATTTTAAATATAAAATAGTATTTTTTCTAACATTATGTAGGATTTACACCAAAATTTACTTATAGATAGACTGAAAATAATTATCTTGTTTTTTAATGTGTGAGACAATTAGGGAATTATTGATATATCTCTCACTTCTCATCCCTTGAAACTCTCATAAACAAAATGGATCCAGGATATTTGTTCAAATAATATAATCTAATGTCTTAAGACCACCATTCAACTCCAGGAAACATAGTGAATACACTATTTTTGTCATGTATTCAAGAAACCAAGGAGTGCCAACAGTCAGATGCCAGGCATGATTGAACGTACTTGCATGCTGGTGTTGATCTATACCGGATACATTAAACCACTTACCTTTGAGAAAGGATCAAATTTTAAAATTCTAAATCACTTGTCCTTTCTCTTTCAGGTAGCAGAATTTATGGTTTTCTTTGCTCTTCCTGGTGCTCCCGGGGGAAGTCTCACACAATTTGTTCAAATGATCACATCTAGGTCATCTTAGAGACCGAAGATTTTGTTTCTAATTGTCTGGGACATTCTGCATATTCCCCAAGGGGAGCTATAAAGAGAGCTGACGAAAGGAGGTTAACAGCCTATGATTCCCACAGAGACTGAAATAACTTAAATAATTCATTCATTCATGGAAAGAGCTTCAATAATTAATATTACTATGGGAAATAGTTTTCTCTTTTTCTTTTTCAAATTTAACACTTTTTTTCCTTGTGGATTAAACATTTACAAGTTATATTTATTAGATCCTGAATAAGATCTTCATTTGCTGATGTAAATATTTTGCTGACCAAGAGTGTCATCCAGTTGATTCAAGCCTCTGTCTCCCCTTCTGAGTCTTAATGGTTATTATTTTTATCTATTACTTCTTTGCTTCTCTTCGTTTCTATCCCAAGTGTCTAAATTGATTAGAACATCTCAGGATGGATTCATTTTTGGATTTTAAATGGGGACACAATAATAAAACTCCCAAGACACACAGGAAACCCAAGGAGACTGTGGTCAATTGGCCTAGACCTACTTAACATATAAAATATCCTACACTGGAGAGATGGCTTAGCAAGGAAGGTACTTGCCAACAAGCATGGTGACCTGAGTTTGACACTTAAAATTCACATATTGGAAGCAGACAACCAAATCCTCCAAGTTGACTTCTGACTTCCACACATTCTCTGTGACATAGCTCTCCCCTATGAGAGTACATTTAGACATTATCTGGGGTAGTTTTATTGATATATTTCATCTCTGAGACTAACGCTGTCATAGTCTTATTTTTAAGATTTTTTTCTTTATTATTTCTTTATTTCTTATTCAATTTACATTCTTGTTGCATCCCCATCCTTTCTCCCCTCCAAGTCCCACTTTACCTCCCTCCCCCTCCCTTTTTCTCATCCACTCCAGCTCATCAAGTTGCATCAGGACTGGGCTTGTCTTTTTTTGCTGTGGCCTGGTAAGGCAGTCCAGCCAGGGGGAAGTAATCAAACAGCTGGCAAGTGAGTCCATGTCCAATGAAGTCCCCACTTCCATTACTAGCGGACATACATGAAGCCTCAGCTACCCACCTACTACATCTTTGTGGGGGGCTTAGGTCCAATTTGTGCATGGATCTTGATTGATGCATCTGTCTCAGCAGGCCCCTCTGGGCCCTGGTTATTTGGCCTCTATTGGTCTTCTTGTGGAGCTCCTGTAACCTCCAGGTCTTTTTCTCTTTTCTACCATTTTTCCATAAGAATCCTTATGCATTCCCCAATGTTTGGCTGTGAACCCCAGCATCTAGTTTGAGACACTGCTGGGTAGAGCCTATCAGAGGACAACCCTGTCAGGCTCTTGTCTGCAAGCTTAGGAGAGTATCATTCATAGTGTCAGGGTTGGCACTCTCTGATAGTGTAGGTCTTTGGTTGAGCCAGGCATTGATTGAGCATTTCCTTAATCTCTCCCATATCTGCTCTACCTTTATCCCTGTACATTTTGTAGGCATGTTAAAGTTTGGGTCGAAGTTTTTGTTGGTGGGTTGGTGTTCCCCTCCCTCTACTAGAAGACAAGTCTAGTTAGATGTGTCCTCTTCAGTCTCTATGGTCTCTGCTAGTAGGAGTCTCTGCTTGAGTCCCCCTCATATCCTCCCAGGAGCCTATCCTGACTTAGGTTACCAGCTTGTCACAGAGATGTCCTCACCCTCAGTTTCTCTTTTCTCTACAGGCCTTCTGTCTTCTTGTCCTCACTTTCTGCAGGTCTGATCTTCACTCTCTTAACTCTCTGTGCCCCCTCTCCTAACTCATTCCCTTTCTTCAGCACCTACCTCTGTCTATTCTATCTCACCTTCTAAGTGAGGTTATTGTATCCTTCCTTGGATCCTCCATGTTACTTATCTTCTTTGTGTCTGTGACTCTTAGTATTCTTATCCTGTACTCTGGCTAAAATTCACTTATAAGTAAGTACTTACTATGTGTGTCTTTCTGGGTCTGAATTACCTCACTTAGGGTGATCTTTTCCTAGCTCAATCCATTTTCCTGCAAATTTCATGATTGTTTTGATTTTAATAACTAAGTAGTATTCCATTGTGTAAATGTGCCACAATTTCTTTATCCATTCTTCTGTTGAAGGACATCTAGGTTGTTTCCAGATTCTGCCTATTGTGAATAAAGCTGCTATGAACATAGCTGAGTAAGTGCCCTTTTTTATGGTGGAGTGTCTTTTGGGTATATACCTGGGAGAGGTATATCTTGGTCTTTAGGGAAAGCTATTCCCAAATTTCTGAGAAAGCACCAGATTGATTTCCAAAGTAGTTGTAGAAGTTTATACTCTATACTGACCAGTGAAAATAGGCACTTGCATGTCATTAAGGATCAAGCTATTAAAACAGAAAATAAAGACAAAATGCCTTTGGGAGAACTGAGATAATCACTTTTCTTGGAGTTCTCAGATCCAGAGATTAGTTAATGAAATAAACATTCATCTTGATAAATACTTGCCACAACAGGTATCTAACAAAAATACTCACTGAAACATTTTCACCCATTTATGAAGTAAGCATGCGAGAAGCATGGACACATGAGGCTTTCCAGTCTGTGGAACTAACAACTTGAATACAAGCCAACATTTTGTTAAAAAGTTATTTTTTAATAGAGAATATGGGCTTTTCTCTAGAGAAAGGTATACCTACTATCTAGGGAGGATCGCAGCATTTCTCACTAGTTAACAGAGCCTCACATATAAACATGGCAATTTGCTGAAGCCTGGATGCAATTCCAGAAGAGCTGAAGGGCATGGGGTTAA